TTTTTCCAATTTTAACCGAACTTCAAGCCATTCCGCCCACTAGTGGCGCAAGTGAGTCACGCGGGTGAGTCGCGCGGTTAAAACTCTCGAGTAAGCTCGCAGGTAGGTTACGCGGGAGAGTCGCGTGTGTAAGGTGCGCAGGTAACTCAGGTTAGAAAGCCGCAGGTATGTCGCGAGGGTAAAACTTGCGAGTAAGACGCACGAGTAAGTTGCACAGGTAAATCAAGTAGTGCGGGTAAATCGCGCAATTGGGACGCGCTGGTAAATGGTGCGGGTGACTCACGCAATTAGGTATACCTGATGACCACGTTGCGCAGGAAAGAATAAATATTTCTTGCGGTAACTAAATAAAACATTGTTTTCGATTTTTTGCGTGTTACTAACTTCACGTTCGAGGAATCTCCTCTTTCTCCCACGAGTCGCACAATATACTAATATTTACAACATTATATAGGTATTTTATAAGTAGGCTGCTTAATTTTAATCAACAGAAAACTAGGTACTTAATTGTACCTAATAGTTTTCTTCGATACACGAAAACCGTTACTAGTTTAGTTTCTGAACCAAGAGGCTTTGTTACGATTTCCTTATTTAGGTGGTCGTTTACATACCCGGTGTTTCGGTTCTGCTTAGAGTTTTGCCAGTTTTGTTACCTTAAGTTTCGTTACTCTTCTGTTACTTGTTCCGTTTCTGATCATGGTTTAATCTTTTTATGTTACTCGGAACGATAACGCCAGAAACGGAGTTTCATTTTTGGGTTTTGTTACAAGTCCCTGCTAATAACAGTTAACTTAAAATTATAGCGCGTCGGGGTCGTAGGGCCCCTTGTGGACAATTCATGAGGGCCCACCTGGAAACTCACGGTCGCCCGGTGGGCCAGCACGCGCCTGATAACAACTTGAGGACTATTTAAGATATATCTACCTTTATATAAAAATATATGAATAAGTGTAAAAAGTACAATAAAAAACATTAAAACATTAATGGATTAATAAAACATGTGTTCTAAGTAATATCTTAAATTTTTTGAAGTGAAACTTGTTTAGTGGCGTTCTGATATTTGACGAGAATGGAGAGTGAATTGGAAAAAATGTAACGTTCCGAGATTTCGTTACACGAGAGAGAAAAAAGATATAACGTAGAGAAAAGGAGAGAGAGAGCTATACGAGTGAACCCCAGTGAATCCGATCACCCAGATGCCCCTTCCCAGATGCATTGTAAGCAGATTACCGACGTAGGCAAGGATTCAGTTTTGTTTTTCATTTGCTAGTGTGTATTTCGAGCGTTTTAACATAAATTATTTTATTTTATTTAAAATTATAAGTTATAATGTCATACACATTGCAAGAGAAAATTGACATGATAAGATGGTCTTTAGTGGGCAATTCTCTACTTCAAACAAGAGACCTATTCTTAGTTAAATATTCGGATAGTTCTATTCCGTCAATTAGAACAATAACAAACGTTATCCAAAGGTTTAAAACAATTGTTCCCATTTCGAGGAACGTAATTTTAGCGACACAAAGTATATAACTTGAAAAAATGATTTCTTGATGCCAAATAATTTGGTGAAATTTTTTCGTTTTGGAGTTATGATTTTTTGAAAATAAAGAACCATACTTCGAAGATCACACTGCTGCTGCTGCAATAAAAGTGTGTAAAATAAGAGTAATAAAGAACAAAAGATTATTTTAATTGATAAAAACAATAAACATAAACAATAAACATTCATTATTATCTAATTTCCAATTACAATTTCCAAGTACGTTCTTTACGTTAATTATTTAATTTGCTTATAAATTGTTAGACACGGATTGGTCGGGTGCAGGTCCGGGTTAAATTCTTGGTGGAGAAATACTTTTTTAATTTTTTGTCTCTCTCGAAAATTCTTAATTTTAGAAAAAATGGCTTTTTTATTGTCAAATTAACTTGATATAATAAAATAAACAATATTCTAGCGCAAACCTACTTAAAAAAATAAAAATTGTTACCAAATGGTTTATTTCTACCAAAAATAAATAAAATAAACAATTATAAGTACGGTAGAGTAGCGAATATTCTACTGTTTTTATTATTTTATAATATTGCGGTTTATTTGTAATAACGCGGTGTAAAGCCGACAAAAGACAAAGGCGTGGCGCGCTCAAAGCATGCCGCTCTTTGGGCGCGTGCCGAAAGCCAATGATATAAATTTATTTCAGATGAAATTAATCAGTAGTTAATAACTACTATTAGTTATATTAGATAGCAGTCACTGCTAAGCAGTGTCTGTGTTCGATAAATTTTGCCCTATGTTTTAAGGTATATATGAAATTTTATTATTAAAATAATTGTAATAAACCAGCAGTACATGATCAGGCGAGTGCTGGAATGATTTTAGGGCCCGGGAAATAGTTCCCTCACAGGGCCCTCCCACACCTTAAATTTTATGTCTTAGAGAAAGGGTTGGGGAACTGGTTGGGGTGTTGTGTTTGTGTTATTCAAATCTTACATAGCGTGCTGGGACGGTCACTACTCACTAATATCCAGGGACTTGTAACGCGTTTCTGGTATGGTTAAAAAAATTATTTTTTACACAAATTTTATACTGTTATATTACTTTTGAAATTATCCCTAACTAAACTAACTTAAATTTCTCACATTCCCAAAAGAAGTTTTACTTTTACCATGTGTACAATGCTGCACATGATTTTTTTATATCATCACAGAGTTTAATATCTTTGATATAACTTAATGAATGGTTTTACAAAAAAAAAACGTACCTAAAGACATTTTTTGTAAAAAGTGGTTTTCTACAAAAATATGTCTTGTACATTGTTGCATATTTAGAGCGAGTTATGCTGAAAACTACCAACTCACCAAACAATTGTTTTGTGTTAATTAAGATTGAAGTTTTAGTGGAATTACCTATATTATATATGAGTCAATCCAAATGAAAACACCAAAAATGAATTTAAAAGTGCGCTGCATGATTTTTTATTTTAATGAAAAAATTTGAGGATGATCTTTTAGGTATCATATATGAAAAACCGTTGCCGTTTTAATTTTTAGTTGCTTTATTTTTAATCGGCACCCTTTAGAAGCCTGAAATCGTGTCATTTTCTTACTCTCTTTTAAGAGGCTAAAACTTTTTTTCTGTGGCAATTATTGAAATGATTATAATTTTATTTTACTGCGTGGTAAGTATGTTTTCAATATTAATTATTATTATCTAATAAGTTCATCTCATAAAAGAATGGTAAACCACTAAAGATTTGTAATAATTTGCCAATTTTTGTTATTTTTGTCTGGGTCCTGTGCCTATTCTGCTAAATCTAGAAAGTTGCTTTTTTCAGGTACTTATACAATAGAAAACGTAACTATTATTTTAAGTTTATAGACTATCATTTTCTTTATTAAAAAAATTATTGAAACTTGATAATTTTCAAAATTAGCCAAATTTGCCCTCAGAAATCATTATGTTGAGGAAAAAATAAAAATCTGAAACTTTCAGGAAATTTAGTCCCCACCTTCATCTTTTCAGACTAGTTAGTCTTGTTTTTTTATTTTTATCCATATAAAAGATATAATAATTTTTTTTAATGCAATTAAGAAGGGATATTGTTAGTTTTATTTATAATTTAAAATTTACATGGCTTTGACTTAGCCAATTCATGTTTGGTAGAGAAATGTCAGAACTGTCAAAAATATTTCATAAATATTATTTGAGCGTATTTAAATTGTGATTTCAAAAAGTTTGCAAGTTTGCAAGTGTAATAAATGACTGAGTGTTTGAGATTCATGAATTTAATTGCAATTAAAAATGAAAGAACATCATAATTTTGTACCTCTTTCTCATAGAAAATATTCAAGTTCTGAGAAGTTTTAAATTGTTAAAAAAAAACAAAAACCAAAAAATATTCTAAATAAACCCCTTTATTATAACATTGTATATTTTAACCAGTTACCTAAAAACTAAAATTTAAAGAAGTATTTACAGATTGTGTAAATTTTTTTCCAACACTAACATTTAAAATACATACATATAACTTTTAACTATTCAGTGCCTTACTAAAGGGATCAAAATAATAGAACAAGAATAAATTGGTTTAAATTGTGAAAGAAACAGACAAAAAACTGCTTAACGCATTTTTTATACGTTTTTTAACTCTTTATTAATTTCACTTATTATACAAAATTTACCACAGAAATACGCACAAATAATATTTATGAAATATTTTTGACAGTTCTGACACTTCTCCACCAAACATGAAAGCCATCTAAATTTTAAATTATAAATAAAACAATATAATATTGCTACTAAACGGGCATTAAAAAAATTAATATATCTTTTAAAGGAATAAAAATAACAAAACAAGACTAACTGGACTGAAAGTTTCAGATTTTTATTTTTTCCTTAACATAATGATTTTTTAAGAATTATCAAGTTTCAATAATTTTTTTAATAAAGAATTATTGTATAAGTACTTGATACCTGAAAAAAAATAACTTTCTAGATTTAGTAGAATAGGCACAGGAGCTAGACAAAAATCACAAAAATTGGCAAATTATCATTAATCTTTAGTGGTTTACCATTCTTTTATGAGATTAACTAATTGGATAATAATAATTTATATTGAAAACACACTTACTAAACAGTAAAACAAAATTAAAATCATTTCAATATTTGTCACAGAAAAAAGTTCTGGCCCACTATAAGAGAGTAAGAAATTGATACGTTTTCAGATTTCTAAAGGGTGCCGATTAAAAGTAAAGAATCCAAAAATTAAAACGGCAACGGATTTTCATATTTGATACCTAAAAGATCATCCTCAATTTTTTTTATCAAAATAAAAAATCAAGCAGCGCACCCCATTTGGTGTTTTTATTTGGAATGACTCATATGAAAAATGTTCTACTTTGACAGCAGCGACTAACCTTAGTAAGTTTACAAACACAAATTTATCTTGAGTATAATACTGATAATTATTGTCAAACTAAATTTGTCAACAAAAACTTACCATTTGGAGTGGTTGAACACATGAATTTGGAGTTATTACTTCTTCAGAGCGACTTCTTGTTCTCTTTCTAGACATTGTGCAATTGATTATTGTATCCATCTAAAAAAAACTATATAATTTATAAGGAACTTGCTTACATGCGATTACGCTATACAATTATACTCAATTAATTATATAACAATAATGATTATTTATCCAATTTTTTAATAACAATATTTTACCTATTATAAGAAAAACTATATGTAAATGAAATTAACAAGATACAAAATGATAGACTCCACTAATTATTACAAATGACACTTTGGTTTTTAATAAATATTAGAATAAATATTAATAATAAACTATTAAATTTAAATGTTTTTGCTGTACGGCTGTGACAGCACCTTTATTTGACAGTAAGAGGTTTTTCGTAATATTTTTAAAGCGCCTATGGTTGCCTATCGCGTACACAAACAGAAATATAAATATAATAAAATTTGTGTTAAATATTAAATGTAATAATCGTACAAAAGAATGCTTAAAAATTATCGATTAAAAACATCTCATTTATTTATTTCCATTAAATAAAAATCACTTTTTATTCATTGAAAATGTAAACCAATCCTTACACATGGGTAAGGATTGATTTACATGGTTGAAGTGCGACGTTGCCACACAAAATTTGATCTGACGTGCTTTCGATGTAAACGAGTTTACCCTAATATTTTTTCCAAAAGCAAGGGAATCTTACAAGTTTCCATTTGTACTTTCCGCAGGCATTTACTTTCCGCACTATCGAGCGTGCGGAAAAGTGCAACTTTCCGCACGGTTATGTGTGCGGAAATTACTCACTTTCCGCACGTTTGTAGCAAAAGATAAAAGAATTTGCACCTAAGAAAAAATTAGATGTGTCCATGAAGTACTTCATAGATGTGTCCATGAAGTACTTCATAGATATGTCCATGGAGCCTACACAAGGAGCCCGAACTTAATAGTGAAAATTGACAAAACCTGTCCACTAAATTGCACAAATTAAGTCTTTTTATTTACCATCAGCGGCGCTGATTGTCGATGCGTATGTATGACGTGAAAGTAGTATCGAAAATACATGTGAAGCAAGTAAGTTTTGACAATTGATTTGCAATAATGTTTTGACGTACGAATTGTTTTGTTATTTATGGCTGTACCTGGTAGGTAGATGCTAATAAATAGGTTTTGGTTGTGAAATATAAGTGATTCTTTATAATCTGTGAAGTGATTTTACGACTCTGGAGAAGCAAAATTAGATTTCCAGGTTAGAAATACACCGCTATTTAATAATTTCCACCTTTATTTGTTTATATTGAACTTTTATTTTTTATTTAAGCCATCTACCTATAAAACTAAAAATAAATACCATATGGATTTAATATTCTGTTAGTTTTACTCGCTTTAACACCAAACGACATTCTTTTATTATAGAAAAAACACGTATTTATAAAAAACTGTACTATGCTCTACATCAGAAAGTCCAACATGAATTCCAATGTTAAATTTGATATAAATTTATTGTAAATTAAGACCTTTATACACAAAACCAAGTACATGGGTACATTGTTTTCAGAAAACGATAAACTGACAGTTGCATAACCTCAATTATATGCACAATAATAAGTGGTAGGCAGAGATATGGAGGCAGGGGTGTTTCTGACAATTTGCAAATTGTGCAGCCATCTAGCGTGAAATTGTACTAAATAACATCAAATTGTACTAACTTACCGCGAAAATTTAAAAAATTTCGAAATTTAAGCAACATCATATTTCCCCTTCCCGTTGCATACGTAAAATTGTAATAAAGTACTTAACTACTAAACATAAAATTAAATTTATTGAAATTTTCAATTAAAAAAACAAACAAAAAATTAACATCACAACATAACCGTTGATCAATCAAAGATATAATTAACACTAACAATAATTATTACTTATTCTAATCAAACATAAGTGAAACAAACGATGACGTGGACAGCCTCTCACAGTAAAAGTCGTTTTTTCGCGTAAATACTATGAAATACTACGGTTAAATAAGTCATGACGTCACAGTTAATTCATATAACCATGGTTAGGTTTCTAACATTTGACATTTGTTTACTTGTTCATAACCTATAATTTTTGAAATGTGTTTTTACCTATTTATATTTAATTTCTATGCTTTTACAGGTGTAAATAAATTTCTTTGCCTCTTCTTTTACCTTGTATATTCTTTTTCTATGAACCCTAGTTCTTATACCTACCTTTTCTATACCTCTTTTTATATATAACTGTTGTTTACCATAACTAAAATCCAACAGTGTTTAACGTTTATACGAAAATTATTATTGTAAAACTCAAAATTTAGAATGGAACCCCAAAGAAAAAGACGAAGGTTGGCGGTATGTTTTGGAGAAGATATGTTTAGCACACAACATTATTCCTACATAAACATATTAAATATATATATTAAAAAGAGAAAGACTATTAACCACGTTGAATAACTAGCTCAGCGATATAGTTTTATGGTCTGGTATTTGTGACGTCATAGTTAGGATTTTTGAACGCACTCTAAACGCAAAAATGCCTTAACTATTAACCAAGGTTAAGTTTAATGACCATGGTATTTCATGGTATTAACGCGAAAAAACGACTAAAGCCTGATTTATAGATTGCCTTCCTGCCTTCCTTTCTTCCTCCTGTAAAAGATGAACAATAAAAAACCGTTGTGGTTTATAGATTTTCGTACGGGAATGTATAAATGGCACTACGATTTTCGTATTGTTCATCTTAAGGGAGGAAGGAAGAAAGGCAATCTATAAATCAGGCTAAAGAATTTTTGATTCAGAATTTGACACATTTGATTATGTTGGTACCATTGTAAAAAAAAACTAGACCTTCTAGTTTTGTGTACCTGAACCTGTGACAGTCTGTAATTGGGGTAATGACCTTTAGACTTGACGTTTGAAACATTGCGCCACATTCACTACGTTACCAACAGTAAAAAAAAATCTGTTGCTGGAAATTGTCATTTTCGTTTTATTTTTTTTTAATTGAAGGCAATTTTTTAAATTGTACTAGAATTGCCAAAGAGGTGCTGACGTACTAGAAGCTATTTTTTTGTACTAGAAAAGTACAATTGTACTAAAAATCACACCCCTGTATGGAGGTACCCACCTCCATATCTCTGGTGGTAGGTAGTGGCGCCATCTCTGGTTATACCACTCTACTGTTTTGGTACGGTAGTACACCAGCGCCCTCTTATCTTAGAAAGATTCTTGTTTACATGAAGTTCGGGCTCCTTGTGTAGGCTCCATGGATGTGTCATTTGATCAGTTGCGACGTTGTCGGATTTCTTTTTGGACAAGAAGCGGACACGGTTTTTAATAAATCAAATAATGGCAAATAAAATCAAAAAAATGCTTGTTGTCACTTTTGACTACAGCGCTTTTAATTCAATTTGTTCTGTGGGAAGAAAAAAAGGCAATCTACAAATTAGGCTTTAAAAACTTTTTTTTTTTTAATTTAACACATTTGATTAAATTGGTATTGGTATGTTAAGAAAAAAAACTACAGGAAGGAGCATTTACTAAACGAGTTTGCGTCCAGAATGGTTGTTGCATATGGCCAGGGCCGGATTTAGCATGGGGCCAGTGGGGCCACGGCCCCAGGGCCCCCACCATTTAGGGGCCCCCACCAACGCAATATGTAGCTTTTTAATGAAACGTATTTGAAAAAAATTGTCAAAAAAACAAAAAATTGGGTCGGTTATACGGTATAATTTTTTCGTTGATCTAACTAATTTTTCGCGGATTTTTTATCGCTAAACCGCTTGCAAATCGAATGTACATATTTAAAGTTTTGGCGCGCGAAGACGTTTTTCACATTTCTATTCTACTATCTTCATTTTTATAGTTTTGCATACGAATTTATAATTTCTCAAAAGCTCAGGGGAAATATGAAAAAAAGTTCCTATAAACACGTGTCTGAAAATGCTTCATCGAGATACAGGGTGTTTCTTTAAAAAAAAATGAGTTTTTTATTTATTGCTTAAAAACGCTTTGGCCGATTTTATTAAAATTTATATGGTTTATTAAATAATAAATGATTCAAGGATAATAAAAAATCACGTAAAGTTCTTCTAGCTTAAAAATTTACCATGAGTTTTAATTTCCCAAGTGTCAAAAATTTTAGAAATATTGAGGGCCCCCACCAAATTTGGCCCCAGGGCCTCAAAACTCTTAATCCGGCCCTGTTGTCAATAATAAATGGTATTATAATTTATTTTATTTATTTATTTTATATCAACTGAGAGTTATTTGCTTTCTAATTTGGATTTGTTTTCAAATTATTTAACTGATAGGCAGTTAAATACAGAGACAAGGGTCCAAAAAGTAGCCAAAACCTAAAAACCAGAGCGGAATTCTCACTAGGTGGCGCTGTAACACGATATCAACACATACTTCCACACAGGAAGTATGGAAGTATGTGGATATCAAACGTTGACTATCTATGCCACACAGCCACAGATTCTGTGGTATGGAAATCTATAAACAGCACTTTCGAAAGGAAATAAGACAATATATAAATCAGATTTAAATTACATCAAATGCAAAGTTATTGCACTTTTTAACAACTTATATTTAACATTAAAACTTATAAACATAATAACTAAAATTATAACATAACCACAATTATATTTTTCACTAAACTAGTTTGTTAACTAGGGGTTATTAATCCATATGGTTTGTTCCACAAAACTGGAAGGTTCTAGTTTTGTGGTTTGTTCTAATCAAATTATAAATTTAGGGTCCCTAGAATTTGCCAACCCAAGGATTTTGTGTGTAAAATCCTTGACTAAACCCCCAAATCTTTGACTTTGTCAAATTCCAAATATATATATATATATATGTAGATTAATATTTTTACTCAAATTCATTTTATTTTTTTTCTAATTTGTGTAATTTTACTTTTATACTGAAAGGTTGGTTAGCATGCAATTTGCATCATGTTGGTGCCATTGTTAAGCTGTTCTGTGGCTAAGCTCATAAAAATCAAACAGCACAGAAGTTTGTTTACGTCAAAAAAACAATGTGATTGGTTTTTATTGTGAAATTTGTATAAAAATGAAGTTTAATTTAGTTTTTATTTTATTAATGTTACATAATGCGTTCGCTCTATTGCACGAAACCTCCAAAATTACGGAGGATATAATACCTCACCATCATAAGTGTCAACCTATAACAGTGCCATTTTGTCAGCATTTACCATACAATGAGACTATAATGCCAAATATTTTGGGACATCAATTCCAGGAAGAAGCTGGTTTAGAAGTACATCAGTATTTTCCATTAGTTAAGATAAACTGCAGCAAAGATTTACAGTTTTTTTTATGTTCTGTATTTTTACCTGTGTGCACAATTTTAGAAGACCCACTACCACCATGCAGATCTTTATGTCTATCAGCAAAAATGGGATGTGAGAGCCTAATGAAAAAATTTGGCTTTGCTTGGCCAGACAGTTTAAACTGTGACCATTTCCCTGATAATATAGCAACTTTATGTGTTGGACAAAATAATTTAACAGTTTCACCAACTGTGCCTTCTACTGGATATAATATAAACCCTCCCATTCAAAAATACAAAAACCCTTATGGAAGAGATTATGGATTTGTATGCCCAGAGCAATTTAAAGTACCAGACGTTTTGGAATACTCATTTAAAGTTGGTGAGAAAATTGAAAAAAATTGTGGAGCACCCTGTAACTTAATGTTTTTTAATGAACATAAACAGCAAATATCTAGGGTTTGGATTGGAATGTGGGCTTTTTTGTGTGCAACTAGTTGTTTGTTTACAGTTTGTACATATTTAATAGACACTGAAAGATTTCGATATCCAGAAAGGCCCATAATATTTTTATCTGTATGTTATCTTATGGTTGCCATGGCATATATAATTGGCTTTTTAACTGGTGATTCAATATCATGCCAGAAACCTTTTCCTTCCAAACCTGGAACTATCACTGTTAGCACCATTACACAAGGCACAAAATATGAATTATGTACAATCATTTTTATGATATTATACTACTTTAGTATGGCATCAAGCATTTGGTGGGTTATTCTGACTTTAACATGGTTCTTAGCAGCAGGATTAAAGTGGGGACATGAAGCTATAGAGGCAAATTCTCAGTATTTTCACCTAGCAGCTTGGGCTATTCCAGCAATAAAGACAATAACAATTTTAGCCATGGGAAAAGTTGATGGTAATTATAATTTGCTATATTTTTAAAACTAACAAAAAGTAGGTTTTAAATACAGGTGCCTGGAAATGATAAGCAAAACTCGCCTGCACAAAGTAATACATAACCGCGCGCATTTGCGTGCGCAAAGTACTTTTCTGCATGCTTACATTGCGCACGCAAATGCGTTAATACTGGAATCATATTAAATCAAACAGCCTTTATAAGTATTTTTAATAAAAAAACAAAAAATATTGCCAAACTAATTCAATATTATTAAAATATAAGTACCTAGCACTTTTCGCATGCTTGTAGACAAAATGTTAAAGTTAATAATTAAGTTAATAAACTGAAGAAAATTGTAGGATTTCCTTGCTTGTAGAAAAAATGTTGATCCTAACACATGCGCAAAGTAATTTTTCCGCACTTACTGCTTGCCTGCTTCGCGTCATTTGTGCAATTGCAGTAGCCTGCAGAAAAATATAACTGCGCACATGTTGGGAAAATAATTATTTTCTACCATAAGGATTATATGTATATTTTTTTAATAATAAATAATTACTTATTCGTCTCAAAAATAATAATATAAAAGAGGTTGAAATTTTAGATTTTTCTATTACTTTAGTTCCTTTTCGACCCTGAAAATTTGAAGCAAATCGGAAACATGAAGTTTTACTCTTGGCCGATTTGGCGTGGACTGTCCCATATACATTACAATTCTATCATACAATATAAAAATCATCATTCACAATACTTATACTGTAGTCATAAATACAATTGAGGTGTTTCTCGGAAAAACATCATTAGTCCAATATCGTCGAAATTTAGATATTAGCACCAACTGTTTCCTAACCTCCATATATACGTATACAAATAAGTGTTTCTCGTAAAAATGTCATAGGTTCCATAATAATTAAATATGAAATTTAGCTTGTTCTTCTAAAAACATCACAAGTCCACTCCGTTTCGTCTAAGAAAGTCACATGTACACAACATTTCGTCTAAGAAAGTCACATGTACACAACATGTGACGTTTTTGGACACTCTAGAAAAGCTTCTACCTCTTTTACATTACCACAGCAATAGAAAATTTTATGATAACTTGATAAAAGAGCAGAAGACCATCGGCAACGATGATAACAGCAGTGGATGCGAAGACTGAGTGTGGCAGTAATACAGTTTTTAGTTTTTTCATTTATTTTGTTACTCAGAGTTAGTATTTAGCTTTTAGTGTTTGTAGTAAGGAGAATTGTTTGTTTTTTTCTTCTAAAAACCTCACATGTTCATGTATTTTTTTCATATTCGTTTGAAAATACAAACATGAGGAATTCTGGACAAAGTATCTTACATTTTTTTACATGTAGTAAATAGGTCAATAAAGTACTTTGGTCAAAAATGGGAGTGTCGGAGAGTTTTTTTCATTTTCCCAAATATGTTAATTTTGGACTAATGATGTTTTTCCGAGAAACGCGTCAATTGAATCGGTGAGATTAAGAACAGTCCAAATGTCAAAATTTTGACAAAATTAAAAAAAAACAGTTTTATAGTTCCAAATGCATTTTTGCGGAAATATTTTAATTATTTTATAAAATATAATGTTCATATTCTGTAAAATAATTTATATCTTGTCACAAAAATGTATTTTAAACTTTAAAATGGATTTTAAAAAATGACTTGTCAAAATTAATTTTTTTTTGTTTTTTTTTTAAACTGTTCTTACCGATTTAATTATAATTACTTAAATACTCTATATACAATTATTACTAACACAGTCATGATTAAAATATCACAGTTAGGTATACTTAAACTAAATAAATTAAGTTTTGATGTCAACATTAGTTTCTTTATTTTTTGTTAGTCTTTTTAAATAAATAAATAAATATCTTTATTGACGGATTAACCATTAGATATAAACAAAAATAATCATTACAATTTTACATTAAAGACCTTTTGAAGGACTGGAGAGTATTGCCAAAGAAAGTCTTCCTTATAGTATTCTATATAATTATTTAAGTTTTCTTTAAATTTTTGACCTTTACAATTTTTAATGTTAAGCAGCCAATTATATAAATGGAATTATATGTAGGATAGTGAGTTCATTTCCATTCAGGAATTCACTTAAGGTAGATTCACCTCTCCATTGGCTCTCGTAGAGTGGTTGTGAACATAATTTTAATTTGTGAAATTAAGTCCTGAGTGTCTTAATAAAGGATTTGATATTCATTAATACTTCTCACAGATCTAACCTAAACAAGTTATAGAGGTCAGCTGTTGATTGTCTTTTATCTAAAGAATATATAAATCAGTGGCTTTATTTTGGAGTAATTTAAGAATACAGTTAGCTGCATTTGACCAAATAAGATTTAAGTATTGTAGGTTAGAGCGTATCAAGGAGAAGTAAATCCACCTCAAGTACTTCTAGGGGACAGTATACATTGTCCTAAGTACACCATTTGGACTGGTCACCTTTCCACACACATGATTATTATTATTATTATTAAATTATGGGACATCTAAAACAGTCTTATTTAGACTGATGCCAGAGCCCAGGAGCCCCAAGAAAGCCTGTCATCAATTTTTAGGCCCAGGAACCTTGTATCCGTAACCTGTTTCAGCTCAAAAGCATCATTTACACAAAGTTCTCTCTGGTTTTTATAAATATACATATAAGATGTTCAGGGACAATTTATGGGAGATAACCCTTTTTTTTAAATTTAGAAATCAGAAGCCATGGACTTATTTACTTGCATCATCAGCATACAACTTCAAATTTCCTTTAAGTTTTAAGTTTAACACGAAATTTACTTAAACCAAAAAAAAATGTCGGCCCCAAGATTGAACCCTGGGGTACACCACATTTAATAGTTTGTCTAGAGCTTTCCACCAAGTCCACAACAACGTACTGTATTCTATCCAAAAGATAGTTTTCCAACCATCTCAAGCAAGAGTCTGTCACACAAATCAGTTTTAATCTCAGACGCAAAATACCAAAATTTAGGTTTAGTTGTATTTCATTCATCATGTTAACTGCGGCCGAGCTCGTGTCACTTGACCCGCGAATGCCATATTGATATGGAGACAAAAAGTTCACTGTGACCCGCAAGCCTACCATTAACTACTCGTTCTAGAATCTTAGCACAAACTGATATATTCTTATTGGTCTATATAATAATTGTTTGCTTGTTCCTGATTTAAAAAGTGGAGTTACGCGTGAGATTTTCATTCCTTTTAGAACTGCTTTATCACATTATTTGACATACCAATTTTATCGTGACCTGCCTTTGATAAATCTAGTTTCATAATGATTTTTAATTTCTCTTCAGGGGTAAATACCATTTTTATTGTGCTCTTGCTTTCTTTTTTTAGAAGTAGGGGTTTATCAGGCATAAGACATGCTTCACTAATTTTTATAAAAAAGTTATTTATATATGTGATCTCCAATTTTCTATTTCTCAGTTACACTTAAAATTGCTTCTTTACTTTCTTGCAGTTTATCGTGACCTGCAGCCTTTGATAAGTCCAGTTTCATAATGATTTTTACTACTCTTCAGGGGTAACCTCATTAAATACCATTTTTATTGTGCTCTTGCTTTCTTGGTTTAGAAGTAGGGGTTTATCAGGCATCGGACATGCTCAATCTTCACTAATTTTTATAAAAAAGTTATTTATATGTGATCTCCAATTTTCTTTTTCTCAGTTACACTTAAAATTGCTTCTTTACTTTTCTTGCAGCTTCGGACAATTAAACTGATTAATTAATTTTCATTCATTTTATTTTATACAGTTTTTTTAAATTTTTATAACGCAAAGTTTATTGAGAATTATTAATTGTTTTAGATAATTTATCCATTTAACATAACAGGAAGGGCATTTCCTTTAATTCTTTTGTAAACCATTGCTTGGGTTAATTGTATACACCTTCTTAAATAAAGAAAAACAAAAATAGTAAAATGACAAAAAAATATTGTAACATATACGGAACATTAATCGTCAATAGTCAACAAGGAACCAACCAACAAATTTACTTGTATAATCAAAATTAAAAAAAATATTGTGAAAAATAAAAAGTTTAGTTCAAAATTAGTAATTTAAAAATTCTTAAGCGTTAAACCTAGAATTAACACTGAAGTAATGTAGTTACTACATCCTTTTCGGGCGCTATTATCTTAGTTTGGCAAAAGTAAGGGTTGGTTCCCTGTTGCATAGCACCATTTATATAAGCATATTAAATATTAAATTTTATGTCAATATGCAAAATGACACTTTATAATCATGATGTGCAAATTAATTTGCGCTTTAGGTTGAAAGAAACTCACAGACAATTAATTAAATCAACTAAATACCTTAAAAATACCTTGATACATTTAAGATTTGTTTTCTCTTATTTTAACATGCATGTAAAAATAATATAAATGTTATCTATTATAAAATTATTTTAAATACCTACCAAGTTCTTTAAGAAATGGGCACCATTTGGGGGTCTAATATTGTTATTCTTAACCACCAAGTATTATTTTACACCCTAGTAAAACATAACTAGGCATATTGGGGTGATTTAAAAATCTTATATTCTTTTTTTTTTGACTTCTAAATCAAAAAATTGGTTGCTGGTCACCTCAAAAAAGCCTATCTACATTTGAGCTGTTACTATTAGGAGTAAGATCCTCATTGCATTTTTCCATTTTCACTTGGTCCGATGAAAACCTTTTGTATCTTACTAATAACTGAATATAAGGCAAAGCCGACATACATACTTAAATATAAAATGAAATACTCTACAAAAAAGGTATCATATGGTGTTTTCTTAAACCATTTAAAACATACTTATCTAAGGACAAAGTTTAAAAAGTTTTAAAAAATATAAAATAGTTTTTTTAAACTTTTTTGTTAATTTTTTGCATGTTTTATAAAAATAGAAAGTTCAGTTTCTTTGTAAAAATTTAAAGAAAAATTCAGCTTTTCAATGAAAACATTTAATATAATATACTTCTTAGTTTATGTCACTGGAAGAGGGTGGGCATTCT